GGTTGGCAATCGACCAGACTTTGATTTAGTCATTGGCGGTTTTGTTTCGAGTTCGCTCGAGCCCTGATACAGACTCCGTCGATTTCCCAGTACCATATCCTCTTGTTTCCTTGCTTTCCTATCATGTTTGGCCTGGGTCCATAAGTGGCAAGTGGTCCCACGACTCGAATGCAGATATTGATTAAGGAAAATGTCTTTTTTGAGGCTAAGGCAGCGTTCAGACTTCGCGACGGCAGCGCTTCGGTCGCGCGTTCGACGCGATCGATGCGCATGCTTTCGACTGCATCGATCGCGTCCAACGCACGCCGAAGCGCTACCGTCGCGAAGTGTGAACGCTGCCTAAGAACGACATGACAGCCCTCTACTTATTCCGGGCTCCGTTATAGCAGTTGTGTTGACTCTGGTATTCGCGCCAGCGGCTAGACGAGTGTGAGCGGTTGTGCACATGTACTTCATCTTTGATGTTCAGCCTGGATCCATGCGCGGAAACTTCTTCTCCATCAATTGGCGCGCCGTTCCTGGCCCCTTTTTTGACCGGTCCATCAGCAGTACGTTGTCGGCATATCTTGGTGTCGAACATGGCGGCGGTTAAATGAGAAGAGAGTAGCGATTTGACGCGCTGGACACCGCGCCGCGAGAGACGAGTTGTCCTGCTTAGCCATTCGAATAATAAGAATACCGAAGTGACGAGAAAGAGTGTTACTGAAGGACGCCAGCCAGAGACTGTGCTGACTCCATATCGTCAGCCACGACAGCGATAGATGGTGTAGAAGATGGTGTAGGAGTACGTGAAATCTATGCGGAATTATGGGAATATAAAGAAATATACAATGATTCCCACGAGATTCGTTATTCCAGTCAAGAAACCGATCTACAGTCTGAACTTCCGGTGCCCATCGCCACATGACGATCACGCCGAAAAATTTCCGCGCTCATCACCTAATGGTGCGTCGTGGGCGCGCCAAATTACGACTCTTTTGCCTGTTCTTCACCTTCCTTGTCGGATAGTGCAAACAGAGAATGAACAGCAGCGGCAAAAGGGGCGATTCTTGTTGTGCACCGGCAGTATCCGGAAACTGTTCTACAAGCGTCTAGATAGATGTTGCAGAACGGCGGTAGGCTGGCTGAACGGCCTCTACAAGCACTGCTGCCACTTGCTGATGTCGAAGGACTTCCCCAAATGAGATGACGAGGCACCCGGCCGTAGGTTCTCACCGAATTCAAGAAAGCCAAGTGGTGTGAGTCTGATCAGGACTTTCCATCATGCGAGCGACGACCAACGGTGGATTGTGCTAGTGGCACTGTGCCGGCTTGAACTCCGCACTGCGGCCAACTGGTGTTCTGTTTCCCTGTGCCTGGCCTGCAGTACTCCTTCGAATCAGACGAATAAGTCGGTGGTTGAAGCGGATGGAGATACTCTCGCTCTTTCTGCTTTTTGTCAATCCGCTTGATCTCTTTCCTCCATACACTTATTGAAGAACACTTCAGGACAAGAGCGATCTCCGAAATGCTTTCACTTTTCTGCACGGGGTCGCCTGATTCGAAAGCTTTTCCGCTTCTCATCTTTTTGATGGTCCTTATTGCTCGTCCTTGGTGATTCGAGGGCAGGCCCCTCAATCGGTGGTTCATCATGAGCATCGAAAGTGGGGAAGCGCCTTGCAGACCTCCTTAGAGAGTTTTCTTCGCCAGCATTTCTCGGTTTCTGAAGCGCAGAGATCGATGGAGCGCAAAATTGGTGAAGTGTCACTTCGGGGTCACAATCTAAACGCAGAAGTTTGAAGGCTAAGAGGGATGGATGATGTAGTCCAGGAAACTGTGCAAAAGCAAACGAGATGGACCGGTCATGTTGCGCGATTGAAAGACAATAAATGGACCTCTCAGCTCACGATCTGGATCTCCCACTGGGTCAGACACAACCCCAAAAAAGCTGACAATGAGATGGGCCGATCCGCTACCGAAAATGTTTGGCTAACAAAGGAAAAGACGTGCACGGGATTGGAACGAATGGCTAAAAGTCGACTCGCGCGAATGACGAAGTCGAGAGGACAAGTCGGATCAGGTGATAAGGTGATCCTTAACAGCGTTTTTCGATTTGTGAAGTCGCGTTCGAGCACTCCATCGCTAGCCTTGATGAACTCGTAGTGTTGGTGAGAGTCCTCTATTGCTCAGGTGCCACTACGGAAAGACCGTAAACCTGCTTCTTACAGTTTCTGGCGTCCATTTTTCGACCAATGAGTTTGCCTTGCTTATGATGGCATGAGCGATCGTCCGTCAGCCTTTTTCCTGAAGCCGCTACTTCGCTCTAGTCTTGTCCGTTGAGCTAACAATAGCTAGCCATGCTCTGTATGCATTTTCCTTGACTCTGACCGCGGCTTGTATACCTTCGCTCTGGAACCAAGCGATCGGTGCGGTGCGTGCATAAACTCCCTTTGTAAAGAGGAACACGTGAGGCGTCGGATTTCATGAGCTAGCTTCTTCCACTTCTTTTCGACGTGGTCGCGTGTGGCTTGGTGGAAGTTGCGCATACGCGATCTCTGCCAGTTGGTCCGGTTAATCTTCGATAGCTTGATAGCAGGCCCCTTGCCGTCTATCACATTGCATCGTTGGCTCAAGAAGTCAAAAGGTAATCAATCTGTGGGTCCTTCGTTTGCCACTGCAGAACGTGGCTAGGTTAGTCCCCCGCTTCTGGAATAGACAGAAAGCAATGATCAGATCCAGACTTACAGCATGGTCCAGCATGATTGAACCGTCTTCATTCCTTGTGCCTTGGGCGGATCGTCGTTGAGTGTTTTCAAATTGGTCATTGCTCGGACTGGACCCATAGAGGTAGTGTCAGCTGCTCCCAGAACTTGTCCTTGGCGGTCTTGAGCAAGTTTGCTTGGCATAAACGCATATGGGTTGCCGTCTTGCTAAAGACCATAATGACAACATTCTTTTCTTTCTGTGGAAAATGTTTCCCGGGTGCGGTAAACTTCTGTGACATATGGTGACCAAACAGTTAACCTTCGATTGGTGTCCTTTTGTTTGTAAGAGTAATATTATATAATATCACACTACTTGGTGGTCTGATTGATGATGTTAAGGTGTCTGTGACACAGACGCCAAGCGCTTTTGCGCAAGCCAGGAAAAAAGTCAAAATTTGGTCAGAATTCGGACAAATGAGCACTGCCCCCTTTTTCAACTAGGAAATCCAAGGTCCCTGGACAGAATCCTCGCTTCACGACGAGATAGCGGCTTCGCTGTTTTATTCATCACTGGCAGATTATCACTAGAAAAAGTCTTTGATTTGCATTTCATTACTCGATCTTATCCAAATTTCCATTTTTCCTCACTGCATTAGATGTTTCAGGCAGGAGGAAGCCAAGAGAATCAAGAGGAGACGTCGTCAGAGGAACAAGATGAATCGAGCACTACGAAAGATGTCAGTTAAGTTTGAAAATTTTCGAAAATTCTTGGAGTTCACTATGAACGGGTTGGTCTTGTGGCACCAGTGCTCAGCATTTGCCATTTCAAAGGTACGTGATAAGCAGCAGGATGTCTCAGAAGCAACAACTACAAGGAAAAGCACTGACACTCCAAACACACTATCACTGAGTAGGCCTGTAGATAACACCGGCGTGAGTCTATTTTTGTGATATGGTCCAACCCTCCACGAGCTCCGAATTTCAGTCTCAGCGGATGAAGATTTGCGTCCGCTTCGCGTCATGTATGGAAACTATTCGTGACTATGAAAATGAATGCGAACAACGCTACTCAAGAGATTTCCTTACTCACCCACATCGAGATCGTAGTTAGCGTATGCCTTGTGCAGAGCACATTTGATTTTTCCCATTTCGCGCTCACTATGGAGGGCGGTCTTTATTTGCAGGGGTCATACTGAGCGTTACTTCTTCTTCCCAGAGTCAGCTAGCACTTTTCTGTCAGGCCTTGCTCACAGTCTGCGACCTTCACGAATCGGAAAACCGGCGAGAAAAAAATAGATACGTATAGTCGCTATCGCTGCACGCGCCTGGGCGTGGATTGGTGGAGAATGATTGATGGAGAACGGGCTGGGGGACTGGGTTTGACACGGCCCCAGCCCACCAATCATTGAAGTGAGCAACTGGTAGAGAACAGACCTTGCAGCCCTTCATCCGCCCTAGTTTCTGCAGCAGAAACGAACATGCCAAATCGAAGACCGTGCAAGTTAAGCGTCGTAGAATCCGGTGCACCAAAAGTTGGTGACATGCCGATTCGGTGGTCTCCGCCCAGCTGAATGGTCGGGGAATCACGTCGGAGAACCCGGAAAACATCGATCTTCTTCGCGAATGCCTTAACTTTTTCGGCGATCCCTTTGCGCTAGCTCCGACTCTCCCTATCAATACGTATCCGAAGCTTTTTGTGTACACGCCGACTTTTGCAATTCTCCCAGGTCGCAGGCCGTGAGCCTTATCTCTGTAAACAGCGAGGGTGAAAATAAGAGTGTATTGCTCACACTATGCATCCATGAAGCAGATTTAACGATTGCCAGGAATTGACGACAGCGATGTACTACGAATTCTCAACTACAGCTCTGTTAGCCGGGGTATGCTTGCTCATCGGGCTTGCCTTCGATCGGTTGAGAAGTCAGACTACGCGATGGTGAGTCGTGCTCTTTTTATGTCTTGCCAACCGGTTTCTGTTCCTGAGCTTTACAGGCTGATGCTTATTTTCTTCATTGTTTAGCGCTCGGCTCCAACTGATTGTAGAAGAGGGATGGCATACCCTGTCCGTCTGAGGGTAAGGGGGAGGCAGCCGTGATCCGTGCAAACGACAGGCGTGTGACGCGACGCGTATTGGAGCGCAGCCAGCAATGATGCTATACTGAGCCCACTACAACTGGTGGGAAATCTTTTTTGGCAGCGTTCCAAGTCATGGCCCCGCTATCGTTTCTAGGGATCATGACGTTTTGTATAAGCGGGGACATTTGGTACGGTAACACGCAGCCGTCGCCACTGCCCTCACAATCAGATGTGTACTCCTGAGGTGCCTCTGCCACACAAATACTCTGCTCTGACGCGCAACAAGTTGGCGCAATAAAGTATTGATCTACCGCTCGCCCCTACAGCAAAGGATTTTTCTGTTACTTGCGTTCTCACCAGTCCAACTGAAGTCCAACTTTAGAATCGGGAAATGAAATTTCTTACATATAAGGCTGAGAAATGCCTGCCCGCAAAAAAAGGTGTTGAAGCTTGTCAAATAACCGAAAAAATGCCAGAGTCGGCCAACACGTCACATTCAGACCAAAGACTTGTACAAATTATAGTGTACACTATTATGAAGGAATTTTAGGTGAAACACCTGCTAGTTACGCAACGCAGTCTGCGAAAGACGTGTCTGGAACACACCCAAGATAAGAGGAGGATGAGCGCTGACGAGGTATGAAAGTAAAAATAGGGGCTAGGATACTTGCACTGATGTGAATTAATTACCCAATTCAGTTTTCTGTTCCTTTCCGCGCTCTCTCGTCTACACGACGTTCTCCTAATACTTAGATTTCACACGCTCCAACTTTTCACGCATAAGTACCTTAGTTACCGCGGAGTCACGTACCCTCCCTTCAGAAAGCTAGCCCATGGCTCGTTAGG